TCCTCCATAACCATTGGCTCTTGATCATATTGTACTTCCTGAAATGCTTCACTTACTGAGGAGCAATGATGTCAGCCTGATTCAGGCTATGCTTTTTCCAATCACCTGCTATGCACCTGAGAGTTGGACAATGAATAAGGATGCTAGAAGAAGAATTAATGCCTTTGAGTGATGGTGTTGGAGAAGAGTCTTGAATATCCCACGAACTGCCAGAAAAACAAACAACTATGTCTTGGACAAAGTGCAACCAAGGTACTTCTTAGTGCTAAGGAGAGTGAAATTTTTTTCTCACATAATTTGGGCATGTTGTTGAGAGGCCAGTTATTGGAAAAAGCCACCAAACTGGAAAGAGAGGAAGGTCCCCAACAAGATGGATTGACACACTGTTAAAATTAGTGATCATATCAGAGACCACAAGGATGGTGCAAGATAGGCCAACTATGGGGTGGTTCTGACTCAATGGTACACAACACAAACAATAACATTAAGCTATAGTAGTCAATGAGGTGTGTATGGGGGAAAGGAACAAACACATAAATCAACGGGATAGAAAAGACACCAAGAGTAGATACATACAAATAGAGTTCATTTATTTTTTTTTATAGAAGTGAAAAGGCAAATTCAATGGAAAAAGGATATTCTTTTCAACAAATTGTACAACAATAATTAGGATGTCCATATGCAAAAAATAAATAAAGGAAAGGACTTCAATTAAAAGCTCACATCTTGTACTTTTCTATTTTTATTAAGTCAGGTTGCTCTGAAAGAATAGGCAAAAAACAAGGCTGCAGGAATTGACGGCATACCAATTAACATATTTCAACAAAGAGATGCTGCCCTGGATGTGCTCATCAACTTTTGCCAAGAAATCTGGAGGACAACCACCTGGCCAACTTACTGGAAGGGATCTATAATTGCTTCCATTCCAAAAAAAGGTGACCCGACAGTGCAGAAGCTATCAAACAATATTATTAACATCACATGCAAGCAAGATTTTACTGAAAACTATCCAAAAATGACTGGAAGCATCAACAGAGAACTGACAGAAGTTCAGGCTGGGTTTAGAAGAGGCCGTGGTACTAGGGATATTATAGCTAATGCTAGATGGATGGATACTGGCTGAAAGTAGGCAGTAGCAGAGGAATGTCTGTGTTTCATTGACTATGCAAAGGTATTTGACTGTGTGGATCATAGCAAACTGTGGCTAACTTTGAGAAGAATGGGAAACTCAGAACATTTGATTGTGCTTATGCGAGACCTATACTTGGACCAGGAGGCAGTCGTCAGAATGGAGCAAGGAAATACTACATGGTTCAAAATTGGGAAAGGTATACTCCAGGGATGTGTCCTATCTCCACACCTTTTCAATCTATATGTACACAGATTATCTGGGAGGTTGCTCTCTATGAGAAGGAATGTGGCATCAGGATCGGAGGTAGACTCATCAACAATCTGTGTTATGCAGATGACACAACTCTGTTTACTGAAACTGAGGAGGACCTGAAGTGCTTGCTGTAGAAGTTCAAGGACTGCAGCCTTCAATATGGATTGAAGCTCAACATTAAGAAAACAAAGATTCTCACCACTGGGCCGACTGGCAGCATCATGATGGATGATGAAGAGATTGAGATTAATAGCTTCCATTTGCTTGGCTCCACAATCAACACTCCTGGTACCGACAGCCACAAAATTAAAAGACAAATTGCATTGGGAAAGTCTGCTGTCAGACACTTCACCAAAGTACTTAAGAGCAACGATGTCAGTCTGGAGACTAAGGTATGCCTGATTCAGTCCCTGGTCTTTGCAATTACTTGCTATGCAACAGAGAGCTGGACAATGACTAGGGATGATAGAAGGAAAATTGATGCCTTTGAGCTTTGGTGCTGGAGAAGAGTATTGAATATACCATGGATTTCTAGGAGACAAAACAGGATCACTCTAGAGAGGGTGAGACCAGGCTGCTCCTTGGCGGCAAGGATTCTGAGGCTTCATCTGACATACTTTGGGCATGTTGCAAGGCGGGATTAGTCCTTGAAGAGGGATGTTATGCTTGGGAGGGTAGAGGGGTAGTACAAGACAGGAAGACCCTTGATGAGATGGACTGATTCAGTGACTGGGGTAATGAGTTTAGGTGGGTAATAAACAATAAGATTGGCACAGGATAGAGCAAGGCATAGGGCTGTTGTACATAGAGTTGCTATGAGTTGCAAGTGACTCAATGGCACATAACAGCAACAAGAACATAGTTTCTAAGTGTGGAATGTAAAATCTAAAACTTTAGGAGAAAAATATAAGTGACTTGGGACTGTGCAAAGAATTCCTAGAGCTCACATCAAAAGGACAATCCATGAAAGCAAAGGGGAAATAAAAGATAAATTAGAATTCATGGAAAAACAATATTGACTTTACAAAAAAACCTTGTCTAGAGAAGGGAAACACACTCATGTTGACAAGATATTTGTATCTACAACACAGAAGGAATTTTCAAAATTCAACAGTAAGAAAATAAGCAACTCAGTTAAAAAATATGGCCTAGGGGAGCTCTGGTGGCCTAGTGGCAAGAAGGTGCACTACAATCCAAGAGGCGCACAGTTCAAATCCAGCAGATGCTCTGCTGAAAGGAGGAGAGGCAATCTCCTCCTGTACCAGTCAGATCCGATTTGACAGTACACGTACAAAAAAATAATAATAATAAAAAAATATGGCCTGAAAATCTTAATGGATATTTCTTTCAAGAAGATATAAGAAAAGCACATGGAAAGATGCTCAGGATTATTAACTATTAGAGAGATGAAAATTAAAAGCACTATGAGAGCACTATTCACTTATTTGGGATGGGCAAGATAATCACAAACACTGACAATATTCAGTGTCGTCAATTAAGTGTAGCAACTAGAACTCTCTCAGACATTGTCAGGAGAATGCAAAAAGGTTATTTTCACTCTGGGAATTTTGGTAATTTAGAAATTATGTATAAAGTTAAACATGGATTTAGCACTTAATCCGAGATACTTACCCTACAGAAATGAAAACCTCTACTCACACAAAAACTGTATACAGACATAGAGAGAGGTTTTAATTTGTAATTACAAGAAACTGGAAACAATTTCAATGCCCTTCTGTGGATAAATGGATAGACTATATTCTATCCCAGCAACAGCATACTACTTAACAATAAAAAGCAATTCACACATACCCCAACTTGATTTGTGAGGCATTGTTAAATCAAGGTCAACAACCCAAAGCTGATTGTTACCACGATTAGGTCAAACACATTTCCTCTTTCTAACTTTCTATCAATTCTCTTGACATCACAGTCACTCCACTTCTCTCCTAAGGTTAAAAATTTGTTACAGTGGCCACTCAATTAATAGTCCAGACTTAGTCATCAGAAGTAAGAGGTGACAATTCAAACTTAGGCAGGGCTCAGGATGCAGTTCTTTGGACAGTTTCTCAGCTGTGCCCACAGGCAGGTCTCTCCCAAGTCCATGGCCTCTAGAGTTGGCCAGCCTTGGACCTGCTAAAGCAAGAGTTGCAAAGCTATTAGCTCTGCAGCTAAGTGCCCTGGACACAATTTGAATGAATTTCAAAGACATCACATTGAGTGAAAGATGCTAATCTCATAAAGTTACAAATCATATGATTCCTTGCATATGACGCTCTTGACAAGATAAAACCAAAAATTAGGGTAATGGAGAAGAGTCATTGCCAGGTGATGGAAACATGTGACTAAAGAGGGATTTTTATTTATTTTTTTAGAGTAATGTTACCATTCTGTATTCTGATTGGTTATGGGACTCTTATGTGTTAATTGCAGACCAAAATTTAAAGTCTCTGTGGGGAGCTCTGGTGGCCTTGTGGTAAGAATCTGTGCTGCAACACCAAAGGCACAGGGTTGAAGAACACTGGCTGCTCTGCAGGAGAAGGATGGGCAATCTCCACCTTTGCAACTACTGTCTCTAAAAACCCACCAGAAGGTCAGCTATGGATTGGGTCTGACTTGATGGCACAAAACAGCAACAAATACTAATTTTCAAATAACAAATTTTAAGAGCACTTTTGCCATTCGGATCTTAAAATTAGCACATCTAAGAAGGCCATTTCAAATTAAGTTGCTTGTAGCACAATCCCAAAGACCACTATTTTAGAATGTACCAAAGACTTCATTTTATATTATAACATGGAACTCACTGATCATAATGCAAACATTTTCTAACATAAACATCAACTAAGAAGAAAAACAATGGTTGTTAATGTGCAAAAATGCTCGGTAAACTCCAAGTAAAAGAAGTCATTACAGGAATTTTTTTATTCAAATTGTAGCTGCAGACAATATGCTGAACATTATCTGCTAAATTGTAACATAAGCCAATTTATTTTTGCTGATGCATTTGTGGTTTTAATCATAGTTAAGTAGTAAATGCAAAAGTTAAGAACCTCTGAATAAACTAAAAGTCACTCATGTAATTTATAAAATTAAATTTAATAACTTATTTATTAGATTTTAGATTAAAAATTATGGCATTAGGTCAAATCAGGAATGTCAGGCATTAAAACAAAATTTTCTTCTGTAGGAATATACAATAGTGTTAGATAAATTCTTTTCTATAGGAATATAAACTAGTGTTCACTAACCCCATAAAACGTAATAATCTAAGACAAATTAGCCTTTTAAAAACATTCTTCAATGCTTCTGAAAGACAGTGTTTTAAAAATGTATCCTGCCTAGTTAAATGCAATATTCAAGAAATGGTAAATGTGCTATACACTCAACTAAGTGCAGTTTTAAAATTAATAAATTCTAATAAAGCATTTTGGTAAGCATATAGGTTTCAATTTTTAGCTATGATTATTGCAAGTTTACAGGGAGAAAATAGGAGGTCTGCATATCTGTGAAAGGGATCAGGCCTTCTGCTACTGCTAGATGATTCTGCCACTAAATTGAACAACCTACACAGAAGTTCCAGTGATGACGTCACCCCGTGTGTTCTGGCTTTCCTTCACATTTTATAGAACATTGGTCCCACTGTAGCTATAATATCTGCATAGGGAGCATGCTGACTCAGCTCAATTGCCCGCTGCTTTTTTAGGACAAGGAAGCTATAAAATTTGGCAGCTGTTTGTTTCCGGTCACTATTCCTGCAGAGCTTCATCAGACTAAAGGACTGTATTCCCATCTTGTTGGATTCCTGGGAAAATAATTAGAAAAGGAGAGAAGAGGGGTGAGGAGAAAACAAGCTTCTTAGAACTAAAGTCACCTTAATATACCTTGATGCACAATGAATAACAATATGAATAGTTTGAAAATGGACTTAAAGTCTTAAATGGAGAACTACAAATAACTTTAGTACTTTGGAAAACATAATGTTTTAAAGCATTAGTCGGGGGAGGGTGGGCAGGGAGGAAAATATGCAACAAGGAATGAATGGAAATCCAACTTCTCTATAAACTTTCATTAAAATCTCAATAAAAAAATTTTTAAAAAGAAAGTATTAAACATTAGCAAGGGTAAAAAAAACATTAGTCAATGAGTACAAGTTTGGTTCACTGAGAAAATACAAGCAAAAGAATCCTAGAGGGGGTATACAAATTTCTAATGTGCTATACAAATGTTAGATGTTTTTTAAAAATACTATTAACATAAACAGCTCCTGTGAAAGCACAATTAGTTTAAAGCTATTGGCAAGGCATTGGGGAAGAATACACATTAGTTTGAAAGACTTAAAAAAATTCACCTAGAATCATCAGCCTCTCAGGCTCAAAGACACTGGCAGCAGAGTTGACTAAACAGCTCCAGAAGATAACAGGGGTATTCTGGTGACACTGTGAGTTAAGGGATTTGGCTGCTAACCCAAAGCTCATTGGTTTGAACCCACGAGCCACCTGTGGGAGGAACACAGGCCAGTGTACTTCATAAAGACATACCGTCTCGGGCAGTTCTACTCTGAGTTGACTTGACTCAACAGTAGTGAGCAATGGGAGAGATCCTTCTGGCACAATGGTTAAGCACTTGGCTGCTGACTGGAAGGTCAGTGATTCAGGCTCACTAGTGGTTCTGCATGAGGAAAGATCTCGGGATCTTTTCCCAGAACAACTGTGGCCTAGGAAACTCTAGGGGCATACTTACTCTGTCCTTTAGGGTCCACAACTTGAAGGTACACAACAATAGTGGTAAATGTAGAAGCACATATGTATATTACAATGGCAAGGGAGAGTGATTATGTAAACATTACCCAGTTTTTTTGTATATATTAAAAAGATGTGCTTAGTGTACCTTAGTGTTTACCAGAAACAACTGTAGTGGAATAAACTCTATGGATGAAGATAACACCTTTTAGGAAGACCAGAGCTTGAAACCAGATTCCCAGTATCAGACCTGTAAGTTCTGGTTAGAAACACTGTAGTGAATTCTGGGTAGTAAACTTGTGCACATAGAACTCCTTAGTTTGTCATGAAGCATTTTTAAAAAATATTATATGCAGCTTCCTCCTCCCAGTCCACAGTTGTTGTTGTTATGTGCTGTTGAGTTGCCTGCAACTCATAGTGATCCTATGTACAACAGCCCTAAACCCTGCTCTATCCTGTGCCAATTTTATTGTCTATGACATGCCTATCCCCATTAACTCAGTGACTGAATCAATCCATCTCGAGTGTCTTCCTCTCCTGCGCTGTCCCTCCATCTTCTCAAGCATGACGTCCCTCTCCAAGGACTTGTCCCGCCTTGCAACATGTCCAAAGTATGTCAGACAGAGCTTCAGAATTCTTGCCTCCAAGGAGCAGCCTGTCTTCACCCTCTCTAGGACAAATTTGTTTGTTCTCCTAGCAGTCCATGGCATATTCAAAACTCTTCTCCAGCACTGAAGCTCAAAGACATCAACTCTCCTTCTGTCATTCCTAGTTATTGTTCAGCTCTCTGATGCCTATCAAGTAATTGCAAAGGCCATGGCCTGGATCACATGCACCTTAGTCTCCAGACTGACACAGTTGCTCTTCAGTCCTTTGGAGAGGTCTCTGACAGCAGACTTTCCCAATGCAACTCATTTTTTCATTTCTTGGCTCCTGGTACCAAGAGTGTTGACTATAGAGCCAAGCAAGCTGAAGCTGTCAACAATCTCAATTTCTTCACCATCCATCATGATGCTGTCAATCACACTGGTGAGAATCTTTGTTTTCTTGATGTTGATCTTCAATCCATACTTAAGGTTGCAGTCCTTGACTTTTTGCAGCAAGCGCTTCAGGTCCTCCTCAGTTTCAGCAAGCAGGGTTGTGTCATCTGCATAATGCAGATTGTTGATGAGTCTACCTCCAATCTTGATGCCACACTTCTCATAGAGCTCAGCCTCCCGGATAATCTTTTCCACATATAGATTGAAAAGATGTGGAGATAGGACACATTCTTGACGTACACCCTTCCCAGTTTTGAACCATGTAGTGTTTTCTTGCTCTGTTCTGATGACTGCCTCTTTGTCCAAGTATAGGTTTCATTTCACATAAGTACAATCAAGTGTTCTGGGATTCCCATTCTTCTCAGAGTCAGCCACAGTTTGTTGTGATCCACACAGTCAAAAACCTTTGCATAGTCAATAAAACACAGAAAGACATTCCTCTGGTACTCTCTGCTTTCAGCCAAGATAGAGTTGACATTAGCTACAATATCCCTAGTGCCATGGCCTCTTCTAAATCCAGCTTGCACTTCAGGCAGTTCTCTGTTGATGTGCTGTTCCAGTTGTTTTTGGATAATCTTCAGCAGAATCTTGCTTGCATGTGATATCAATGATAGTGTTCAATAATTTCCACACTCTGTCAGACCACCTTTCTTTGGAATGGGAACAAATATACATCTCTTCCAGTCAGTAGGACAGGTGGTTGTCCTCCAAATTTCTTGGCACAACTTGGTGAGCACATCCAGGCAGCATCTGTTTGTTGAAATATCTCAATTGGTATGCCATCAATTCCTGATGCCTTGTATTTTGCCAATTCTTTCAGAGCAGCTTGAACTTCTTCATCACCACAGGCTCTTGCTCATATGTTGTTTCATGAAATTCTTCTGTGTCAGCCAATTCCTTTTGGTACAATGACTCAGTACACTCCTCCCACCTTTCAATGCTTCCTGGTTCATTCTGAATTTGTTCTTCAGCTCCTCGAGTTTAAGAAATACTGAGCGAGTTCAGCCCTTTTGATTTTCTGCCTCCAGCTCCTTGCACATTTCATTGTAATACTTTATCTTCCCGCACTCCCCTCTGGAATCTTCTGTTCAACTCCTTAATATCTTGATTTCTTCCCTTTGCTTTGGCTTCTTGGTGCTCCAGTGCAATATTTAGAGTTTCTTCTGACATCCATCTTGGCCTTTTCTTCCTCCTCTATCTTTGTAATGACCTTTTGCATTCTTCCTGGATGATATTCTTGATATCTTCCCACAGCTCATCTAGTCTTCGCTCATTAATGTCCAAGGCTTCAAACCTGTTTCTGAGATAATTTTGAAATTCAAGTGGGAGAGACTCAAGGTCAAATTTTGGTTCCTGTGGACTTGATTTAATTTTCCTCAGCTTCAGCTTGAATTTGCATATGAGTAGTTGGTGGTCTGTTCCACAATCAGCGTATGGCCTGGTTTTCACAGCTGATATTGAGCTTCTCCAGCAATTCTTTCAACTGATGTAATCGGTTTGATCCCTATGCATACCATTAGGTGAAATCCATGTGTATAGTGTGCATAGCCTGGGTTTGTGTTTCTTATAAAATGTATTTGCAACGAATAAGTCATTGATTGTACAAAATTCTATCATTTATCTCCTGCTTCATTTCTGTCACCAAGTCCATGTTTTCCAACTACTGATCGTCCTTCTCTATTCCCAACTTTTGCATTCCAGTCACCCATTACTAATGCATCTTGATTGCATGTTCAATCAATCTCTGACTGTAAATGTTGGTAGAAATCTTCTATGTCCTCCTCTTTGGCTCTGGTTAATAAATAAAATAATTTAGAATACTTTATTTCAACCAGAATAGGGAAGAATGCCAGCAACCTTTCAGACATGGCATAGTTAAGTCTTTGAAGAAGCCTGTGTGGTACAATGGTTAAGTGCTCAGCACAAGAGAGTCAGTGGTTGGAAGCCACCAGGGGCTCTGCTGAGAAATAGCTTGATGATCTGCCCCTCCATAGTACAGGCTAGTGGTAAACCCTGTGGGGCAGATGGGATCACTTCAAGTTGAAATAAACACAATGGCATGTAATAGAAGCATGGCAAGTTTTTATTTACTCCCTCCATTGAGGAAACAAGATGTGCACTGGGCAGCTTTTCTCCCTGGGGCAAAAGGGGTAAATTTTCTATTTCAAAATCAATCCATTGCCATCTATTCTGACTCAGCGATTGGGTTTTCAAGGCTCTAAATTTTTACAGGAGGAAAATCCAAGCCTATCTTTCTCCTGAGCAGCTGAAAATGACTAGAAGAAGAAAAAAATTCCACCAATCCAGAGAAAAAAATATGCAAGAGTGAACATATGTGCTTATTTTTGTTCCCTCTAGAAATCACTTTAAAATGAAGGTGAAAAAAAAGTGATAAAGGAAGAAATAAAGACAGAGATGAAACCTAAGCACCAACTGAGAGGAAAATCAGAAAATAACAAGCACTTTGAACAACAGAACCTTGGAAAGCTCAGGAATTGGAGCATCAGAGTGCTGTAAGCATGGGATGAGAGGTAAAGCTGACAACAGGGCAATTCCTTAAAAGTTCATGTCACCATTCTCAAACTCACTGCTGTCATGTTCTTTCCAACTGGTAACTTTTCATCAGATTTCTGAGGCCATATTGTAACCAAAGGGCATGCAGGTGTATTCAGACTAGAGAGATGTGGCCTTTGTTGTTGTTGGGCGCTGTCGAATCGAGTACAATTCATAGGGACCCTATGAACAACAGACTTGAACTCTGCCCTATCCTGTGCCATCCTCATCATCTCCAACACACTTGATCCCACTGCTATAATCACTGTGTGTCAATCCATCTCATTGAGGGAGTGGAGTATCTTCCTCTCTTTCTCCACATTTGCAAGTACAATGTCCCTCTCCTAGCAATGCACCCAAAGTACATGAGGTGGGGCTTTGTCATCCTTGCCTCCAAGGGGCAGTCTGGCTTTCCAAGATACATCTATTCTTTTGGCAGTCCATAGGATATTAGGTGCCATCAAGTTGTGTATGACTCATAGTGACCTATGAACAACAGATACGAATCCTGTCCTATCCACAGGCATCTTTATTATAGCTGGTACACTTGAGGCCACTGATTAAGTCACTGAATCAATCCTTTGAACCAAGGGTGTTCCTCTCCTTTGCTGACCCTTCACCTTTCCAAATAAGGTATCCCTTTCCAAGGAATAGCCTCTCTTAACATGCCCGAAGTATGTGAGATAAAGCTTCCCTATCCTTGCCTGCAAGGAGCATGCTGGTTTGCATCTTCTCCAAGACATATCTGTTTATTCTTCTGGAGTCCATGGGATATTCAGTACTCGCCTCCAACATCGCAACTCAAAGTCATCATTTCTTCCGTAATCCTCATTCATAGTCCAGCTCTCAGATGCATAGGCATCTCAATTCAGGTTGGAGCCCTGCCCACTCAAATGTCACCAGGCTTTGCTGACAGCCTCAGGGACTAGACTCAGGAAAAGATTTTTCAGTCCAACTTGTTTCAGGCATGAGTAAACAACACCAGCATACCAGCTTCAGAGGAGAATCACTCTCACCTAGAAAATAATCTTGCTATGTGTCTCAAATGCAGAGACACTAAGTCATGAGAAGGCAGCCGAGGAGCAGAAGTTCAGAGCCTAGGGCCTTTCTCCAAAACTGCCTGAGAGAGAAAACCTTCCCTAAAGATATGGTCCATAGGCAGTCTCTATAGAGAAAGCAGAGAAACAACAAAAAGGAAATCCAGGAAAGAGCACAGAACAAAACAAAAATTTCCGTAACTCAAAAACATGCCTTTTCCAACTGAAAGAATCTGCCGCAAACACAGCACAATAAAAGAAGACAGGCTTTGGTCAAACACGTCGTTGTGGACTTTCAGACCACTGGGGAGAAAGGAAAGACCTAAAAGCTTCTAGAGTGAAAATGAAGGTCACCTACAGAGGATCAACAACCACAGCGGTGTCTGGCTTTCAAGGAGCATGAGAAAGTTAGAGATGTTGCGAAGCCCTGGAAAACTGAGAGAAATTATTTTCAACCTAGAGTGCTGTGTACAGAGGATTGCCATCAGTTAAGTAAAATACAGACATTTTCAGACTATCTTAGCTCCCTCTCCTAGGAAGATGTTAGCCACCAGAATATCCAAGGTAAAGGATGATCTAAACGCCGGGAAACATAAGAAAACAAAATGAAGTAAGAAACAAAATTCCCATGCTTATGGTAAAGGAATGTCCTGAGATAAAACCTGTGGAGATCTAGGGAGATCTAGAGAGCAGCTAGTCCAGAGGAGAACAAGAGGAGGGTTATTTGCAAAGGGAAGAATTAAGGAACTAAGGGACAAGATGGTAATAGTTGACCTTAATTAAAATGGTGAGTTTAGGAAAAATGTTAAGAATGGTATAAATACCAATAAACTGGGAACAATATGGCAAAAAATGAAATTAAGAAAAATTATACTGTTAAGCTTCAGTGGGGAAAAATTTTTACATAGTCTTTGTAGCAGCAGCAAGCTGGTTGTTCCTAAATATCCCTCTTTCTTTACTGCCATAATAATAATGGACTAGCTGGGTGAAAGGTAAAGTAGTGGATCATCACGAAACAAGACAAAGTCTCAATGAGGTGGAGACACAATAGCTACAACCACGAGTGAAGCCGATCTGTGGTCCTGAGGATGATGCAGGGCCAGGAAACCTTTGGTTCTGTTATAGACATGGTCTCTGTGAGTTGAGACTGACTCTATGGAAAGCAACAAGAGCAAGCTTGTCAAATAAACACTCCATTTCCCAGCTTGGTGCAGCAATACAGCTAAGTTCTGATGGAACTCAGAATTTCTGCATTTTCAGAATGCTGACGTGGTAGATAATTAGCCAGTTTGGATCATAAGAATGACTATAAGAAGATAAAGGGACCCTGGACCCTAGACAAATTTCTAGAAACAGTTGTTATACCAAATTGGACTTTCCCTCAAAGATAAAGAAACTTTTCTTTTTAAAAACAATGGTATCTTATATCTTTTACATACTCCAACCTGCATTACAACTATTAGTATTAGAACACTATAAATATAAAATATTTAACTAAAACTTATGTTAAAAATATACTGAGAAAGCTAAGTGAAATTTTTATTTTCTGTCGAAAGAAGTGAATAGATATCATTTAAGCTGAAATATGTGAAAATGTAGTAAAAACATGTTAAAATAAATATGGACATGAATACTAAATAACAAGAAATGGCTTTAAAAAGGAGAAATATTACATGGTGCCACCGCTGTAAAATGGGACTGATATCAGGATTGGGGTAAGACTGAGAAAAACTGGATAAATTGTGTATACTGCGCTGAAACAGATGAGGGAGAGAATAATTTAAAAGCAATGTATGATAGGGTATTATGGTTATTACAAGAGTCCACAATTAAGGTTGCATAGTGGAATGTACTTAGGGCGGTGGGAGGGGTGTGGGGATTGTGTACCAGGGAGGGAGTCTTTCTTTTACTTTTCAAAGAGAGGAGAGAACTGGGGGTAAGAGGGGAGGGTGGGAGAGAAGTGCAGCAATGAATGAATGGAAATTCAAAATCTCTGTTCATTAAAATTATTAATAAAAAAAAATTTTAAAAATGAAAAAAAATGCTGAGAGAAAAAAAAAAGAAATGGCTTAATGAGTTTACTGAAGCTGTCTCTGATGAGTAGGACTTAGGGATACACAGCAGGAGACCAAAGACTTCCACCTTTTCTTCCGAGCCTTCCTAACAACGTAATACTATTGAACTTTAAAATCACACACGTGTATTATTTTGATAAAAATACAAATGACATTTCATAATGTCCTCAAAAACAATTTCATGAAATTGTTATAAACATATTCCATATTGAGAATTAGCTGATAGAATAGGACACAACATCTGCATCTGCATGAATATTAGTAAGGAATTTATTTGAAAATTTAAATAACAAAAATAAACTCATATCTAACCTCAGATTCACCACTCTAAATTGTGTGTCCCTAGCAAAATTTGGCCATGGAAAAAGAGTACAAACAATTTCCTTTTACCAATTCTGTGACATTTTAACTAAAAATTTTCTTAAAAACAGGATTGATGAAAAAATTTTTTTAAAAAAAGATTGATAAACCCTACCATCTTACCCTTAAGCTTTTTAACAGCTGAAGAGTTCTTCGATTCCATCTCTCTGCCTCAATAGTTTGTTCATCCCCCAGTGACTCCTGTTTGAATGATGGATAAATACTGCATTTACTCTACTTATAATGAATGCTTACACGGCACAGCTGCTGGTAGATCTAAATTATTACTCTAGTGGTAATTTGAGGTGTAGCTTTGAGTTCGCAGCACCTCACAGGCTAAGCCGTCCAGAGCTCCCTAGGGTTTGTTATTTGCAAGGATAGTGTGAGGCTGCTACAAGAAACCCTAACTGAACATTAGGTCCTGACAAATAAGGAATGTTTTAGTTTATTAGAAAGCAAACTACATACAAATATAGACCCGTCTTTTTAGGATAACATCTATCCTCCCAGTGTTACTTTTGGTCAAGAGGGTCCAGAGTGAGAGATTCTGCCACCTTTACTGGTAATGCATCTGAGGGTACAGTGTCCTTACTCTCAAAAGTCAAGTCAGCAAAGACAGTGCTTTTGGCTAAGGCAATTGTTGCTCTGATAATGGGAACTCAACGGACAGGAATAAAAATGAGATTTTAGATGTACTTGCTGATACTGAAGCTGTAAAATAACTGGAGGTCAGGAGTTTGCGAACCAAATCTTAAACCCACAGCCACTGAGCTGACACCCACTTTCCATCTGGTTCCTGAGGCTGTAAATCTGTACTGGAGGAGACTCTCTTTCTCCCTCAGAGTGGCTGGTGATCATTGGCCGTCTGGTTAGCAGCATTATGTAAAAAGCACTTGGCACCAGGGCCGCTTACATTCAAAACCCTTCACATTTTGAGGATGTTTTACCCAAAAGAGTTTAACTGATTGCCTATCATATTATCGGACTACACTTATTCTTTGATTTCAAAGCTAAACCATCTTCAGGAACATTTCAATGTTTAAATATTACAAACTTGTAATCCCTTCGTAAGAACTCACCGTAAATCCTCACCAATTAACACTTTACAAACTGGGTCCAGGAAAGGAGCTGGTGAGTTTGAGGCAAGAACAGACTCACAGAGGGAAGGGGGAAGGGAAGTGAAACAAATCGGACTTACTTTATAATTCCTTCTAAGCTAGTGCTTACCATGCAAACCAACAGTATTTGGGCCACACTTAGCACATATCCACTGTCTATTCCAGCATTTCCTACATGTGCATTCAATTTTATGATCTACAACATTCTTTCAGAATGTTCAAAACCATTCTGTGTATATATGATGTTGTTAGAGGGACATCATGTTTGGCAGAGTGGAGGGGAAGCAAAGGAGAGGAAGACCTTCGATGAGATGGATCGATTCTGTGACTGAAGCAGTGGGAATAAGTGTGTTTGAGACGGCGAGGTTGGCACAGGATAGAACAAAGTTTAGGGCTCTTATACATAGGGTCACTGTGAGTCACAAGCGACTCGATGGTACATAACAACAACATGCCATTGAGTTGGAACCATAGCATAGCTGACTCTCCAGTGGGTTTTCAGGGGCCATAAACTGTACAGGAGCAGACTGTCCATCTTCTTCCCATGGTGCTACTGGTGAATCTGAACTGCGTGTACTTGGGTTAGCAGGGCAGTTCACTACCCATTAGGCCACCGTAGCTTCATGTATTTACTTGCTGTTGTTACATACCAACGAGTTGTAGCCAACCTAATAGTTGACCCTCCAACATGTTTTCACAGGCAGTAAACTACACAGGAAGAAATCTTTCTCCCATAGAGAAGCTGGTGGATTTAAAACATGTACCTTTGAGTTGGCAGCAAAAGTCCTTACTGTCATCAGAACACCCTGATACATAGATGTGTATATGTATAAAATTCATTATTGTAATAATTTGAGGCTAAAGATTCAGTCTAGACACTGCTGTGTGTCCCCATTCCCACCAGCTATACTGGCTCCCTGATCTTGACCATGCTGTACCTTTTACTACAGAGACTGATTTGAAATATGTTCATTTTATTCTGATGAATTTTATGAATACCTCTAGCTGTTTTCTGGTCTGTCACGGGGGAAATTATTTCATCCACTTACAAACGCTAATGCTATTGTTAAATACATAAATGTTTATTTTCAAATGTAAAAAAGCAATGGTCCATTTCTTTAAGATCCACGAAACTGTCACCTCACTTAAATAGTGTAATGAAACTACAGACAAAAGACCAGAAGCAGCAGTTTGTGAATTTTGCTGAAGCTTGTCCACTTGATCTATCAGGACACCCTGTGTTTGTGTGTGTATGTGTGTGTATATATATGTGTTTGTGTATGTGTGTGTGTGTATATATATATATAATCTCCTGCTAAGCATTTAAACTGTATATATTTTTAAAACCCAGCATCTTTATTTTAGAAATATTATTATGACTCATTATGATTCAAATACTTATACATGTAATCAATTGCCAAGCTTTCTATAGATGGTAAAACCAATTTAGGTGATCTTTAACTCAAATTAACAGATGCCATCTTGGATGCACTCATCAATCTATGTCAGGAAATTTGGAGGACAGCTGTCTGGCCAATGGACTGGAAGAGGTCCATATTTGTTCCTATTTCCAAGAAAAGATCTAACTGAATGTGGAAACTATTGAACAATATTATTAATATCACATGCAAGTGAAATATTGCTGAAGATCATTCCAAAATGGCTGGTACATAGATAGAGAACTGCCAGAAGTTCAAGCAGCATTTAGAAAAGGCCGTAGCACCAGGGATATCATTGCTGATGTCAGATGGATCCTGGCTGAAAGTAAAAAAAATTCCAGAGGAATGTCTGTTTGTGCTTTATTGACTATGCAAAGGCATGTGATGGTGTGGATCATAACAAGTTGTGGCTGACAATGAGAAGAATGGGAGGCCCAGAGCACTTGACTGTGTTCATGTGAAACTTATACCTGGATCAGGAGGCTTCTGAGTGAATAGAGCAAGGGAATCCTGTATGGTTTAAAATTAAGAAGAGAGTGTGGCATGGTTGTATTCTCTCTACCTATCTATTTAATCTGTATGTTGAGCAAATTATTTGAGAAGCTGGACTCTTTGAAGAGGAATCTGGCATCAGGATTAGAGGGAGATTCATCAAGAACATGCATTATGTAGATGACATAACCTTGCTTGCTGAAAGTAAGGACTTGAAGCACTTGTTGCAGAAGATCAAGGAAAGCAGTCTTTGGTATGAACTGCATCTCAGTATCAAGAAAAAAAAAGATCATTACTACTGGACCGATAGGCAACATCATGATGGATGAAGAGATTGAAACTGTCAACAACTTCATCTTGCTTGGATCCACAATTAACACCCTTAATACCAGCAGTTAGGAAATAAGGAGACACACTGCATTGGGAAAATCTGCAGTTAGGGTCCTCCCCAAATTATTGAGGCGTAATTATGTCAGTTTGAGGACTAAAGTGCGTCTGATTCAGGTCATAGTCTTTGCAGTCACTTGCTATGCATCTGAGAGATGGACAGTAGAATTGATGTCTTTGAGGTGTAGTGATGGAGAAGAACACTGAACATCCCAAGGATGGTCAAAATAACAAGTATGTCTTAGAGAGGGTACAGCCAGAGTGCTCTTTGGGGGAAGAATGATGAGGCTTTGCTTCACCTACTTTGGGCATGTCGCTAGGAGAGGTTTATTCCTTGAAGAAGGACATGATGCTGCAAAGGGTGAAGGAGAGGTATACCCTCGACCTGGTGGATTTACACAGTGTCTGCCACAATGGGCTCTTGTGTCAGGAAGACATGTGTGAGGAAGAATGAGGATGGCGCAGGATAGAGCAGGGTTTAGAGCTTTTGTTCATAGAGAATGGCACTTAACAACAACAACAAAAGATGCAAACATTCAAATATCTCAAAAGGCAAGCATGGTTCCTCTTCACTCCTTAATCTGGGTGTCTTGAATTCTGAGAATTCCATAAGAAAAGGACTCAGCAGAGGCACTTCTCAAAAGTAAGACTGTTGTTTGTTGTTGTTATGTGCCGTCGAGTCGCCTGCGACTCATAGCGACCCTATGTACAACAGCCCTAAACTCTGCTCTGTCCTGTGCCAATCGCACTGTCTCTGACACTCCCATCCCAATTATCCCAGTCACTGAATCAATCCACCTCATAGAGGGCCTTCCTCTCCTGCGCCTTCCCTCCACCCTCCCAAGCATGATGTCCCTCTCCAAGGACCGGTCTCTCCTCACAACATGTCCAAAGTATGTTAGATGGAGCCTCAGAACCCTTGCCTCCAAGGAGCCACCCGGTTCTATCCTAGTGCCAAGAGAACAAACAGGTTCTTCCTAGCAAACAGGCTGCTCCTTGGAGGCAAGGATTCTGAGGCTTCGTCTGACATACTTTGGACATGTAAGGAGGGACCAGTCCTTGGAGAGGGACGTCATGCTTGAGAGGGTGGAGGGACAGAGCAATAGGGGAAGACCCTCAATGAGATGGATTGATTCAGTGATGGGGGTAATGAGGGTAGGTGTGTCAGAAACAATATAGGTGGCACAGGATAGAGCAGGGTCCAGGGCTGTTGCCATGAGTTGCAAGTGACTCAAAAGCAAACAACAACAACACAGTATCTAAAGAAGTTAGTGTGTTTAAATGTAGGGGGAAAAATTAGCCCAAGAGTCTCAGAATCCATTAAAATAATTCACTTAAAAAAGTTAGCATTAAGTATTAACAAGGGTTTAGATATTATTTCCTAAGGATACGTTTGCTAAAATATCTTACAGTCTTAAAAATGTTTTCAGTACTCTGAGGCAAAAAGCTGGAGAAGTCAGGTAGTAAATTAATAGGCGGACTTTACTTCTGGGTCTGCTGTTGACACATGGCCCTTTGAACAGACCATTTTCTTTTTCTGACCACTATCTTATCTAGATGCATGCCTTAAGTCGTTGAACGCATTGGGAAAAACTGTCCACCAGGTTTCCTTTTAACTTTGTATTGTTTTCTACAGATTCGTATTCCATTCAACCATTCCTGCACATTTTGTTGTGTGTCACTGTTTATAATCCCCACATTATAACAGCACTCTCCCCTCTGTGGTTCTTTTTTCCATCTGTCATTCTATCCTCTCCCCCCTGTTTTCTTAGTCTTGTCTCTTCTTGCCTGATGCTGCCGTTTTGAATTTGCATGGCTTATTGCTTTTAGGATTGAGTATCTCCCTTGTTATGGTTCACCTTATATAAGTGAAAACTTGTGTCACGGGGGAAATTATTTCATCCAGTGGTGAGTTCAGTTTCAAGTATAAAGGTTGGTCAAGACCCATTGTCTCAGTGGTTCCACTGGTCTCTATCAGACCAGTAACCCTGGTCATTTTGTCTTTATGACTTTATTTTACATGCATTTCCTACTCCACTCAGGACTCTGCATTGGGATCCTTTTCAGAGTGGTCAGCAGTGGCAGCCAGGCACCACCTCGTTCTTCCAGTCTCAGGGTCATGGAGGTCAAGGTCCACAAGATCTGCAGTACTATGTTCTGATTGTCTGCACATGTCTTTACCTTTGTTCATTCTTTACTCTAGATGTTAGAGACCAATGAATGTACCTTAGGTGGTCGCTCACAAGGTTTTAATACCCCAGATGCTACTCTTCAGTGTATAAAGTACAACATTGTTCTTGTGAGCTATGTTATGCCAACTGATTGTTATGTCCGCTAGTCTATGGTCCTGAAGTCCCACAATTAGTAACTCATTCCTTCGGGGTATTCATTATAGTTAAGAAATGAATGTGTTTCCTCTTTTGGTTATACTACTATGTGGATAGGGAGTTCTGGTGGTTTAGTGGTAAGGATTTACATTGCCAACACAAAGGCACGTGGTTCAAATCCTCTAGCTACTATGTGGGAGGAAGATGGGCCATCTCCATTCATGTAATGTACTGGCTCTGGGGGGTCTGAATGAGTTATGACTCCATGGTACATAAGAACAATATATATGTGGATATAAGAATACACGTGGATATACACTGCCCCTGCAAAACTCTGCTGGCATAGTCTATAAGGAGTTGTGCTGCTAACTCAAAGTTGGCTCTTCTCCAGTGGTTCAAATACTCCAGTATTCCAGGAGAAAGACAGACAATCTAATCTCCTCTGTGCAATTCACAGCCTCTGAACACTCACTGGAAGGTCAGCTATGTTTGGTTCCAATTTGACACCAATGTTATATTTGTTATATATGTGGATATATTTGCAGGATCTACAAATAAGTATATAAAAACAGCATCTGCCAAGCCTATGAATGATCATGAATGTAGCTCCTTTTATTTGTCCATTATCTGTTTGTCTTATTATCTGCCTATGTGCCCACTTGTGAGTTACCGTTTGTTATTAAAGATAATGTAGGATTGTGTAGGTACAGCTCTATTGTTGCCTATAATTTTTGTGAATCTCTGTGTCTTCCTTTTCTTTGATATTATGCTAATCACACCTTGTTTGTATATACAGCCTTTCCTTTCATTCAATTAACTTTGTACCCATTATTCATTTATTACTTTTTCTTCTCTTCTTCCTCTTCCATCCCTTGTTTCCATCAAAGAATTTTTTGTGTGTTAAGTTTTCCATAACTTCTAATAATAGTGGATTCATACAATCTTTGTCCCTTTAGACTAAATCAGTTTATTCAGTACACTGCCCCCCTAGGTTTAACCATACTGTACGGTGGCTTCTTCCTTATTCTTTACCACTGCATGACATATCAGTGTTTGTATGTATAAAGTTTTTTGTTTATCCATTCATCTGCTGGTAGACACTTAGGTTGTTTACATTTGTTTGCTATAGTAAATAATAATGGCATGGGGTAAACACGGAGATACACACACACACACACACACACACAAACACGTATATTGCAGCTCTTATTTCTTTGCCATTTATATCTGAGGGAGCTCTGGTGGCCTACTGGCAAGAAACTGCACTGCAATCCTCAAGGCATGTAGTTCGAGGCTACTAGCTGCTCCATGGGAGAAAGATGGGCAATCTCCTGCCATGTGATCAACTGCCTCTGAAAACCTGCCTGGGGGTCAGCTATGGGTTGGTTCCAACTCTACAATACAACAACAACAACAACAGTGAGATACATAGGTAGGGAGCTCTGTGGCCTAGTGGTGAGAAGCTGTGCTGCAATCCCAAAGGTAAATGGTTTGAGCGTACCAGATGCTCTGCAGAAGAAAGAAGGGCAGTCTCCCTCCTCCTTTGTGATTAACTGCCTCTGAAAATCTGTTGGAGGCTCAACTATGAGTTGGTTCCAACTTGATGGCAAAGACTAACAACAGTGAGACTGCTGGACCAAAGGATATTTCTAACTTTTTAAGAAGGCACCATGCTGTTTTCTCATCAGCAGGTCCACATAGGTTTTGTAAATAGAATAAAATTTTAACTATCCTAGAACATACTCCTAATATAGCTTTGTCTCTCTAGCGATGTTATAAGACAGCAATTCTCAATATACTTAATTAATGGTAATTTTTTATAAACATAAATTATTTTACTTTTTAAAAAATTATTTGAGTTTCACAATAAATTAAGAGGATCAAAGCAATTCTGAATGCTTCATTAAACTACTCACACACACCTGTTGAGATAACAGCTTTAACCTATAACTTTAATATGACAGCTCTAAAAAGCAAGTTTTAGATAAATAAAGCATTAAATATCTGGGAATAAGGTTTTTAAGAATTTTTCCAAGACTATACATACATTTACCAAGTCAGCTGGATAACTGTCAATCTCTTCTGCCAAGAAGGCATTTGTCAAAGAGATTTCCTCAGCAACAGAAGAAGCCATATCAATAGCATCCTGCTTAAAAAAAAATGAAGGAAAGATAGGTAATTCTGGTAGAAGTTATTTCAGGAACAATAGTTTCTTTTCCATATGCCTTCCACAAATGGAGAACTCACTCAGATTTCATTCCTTACCTCTGATGCTGTTCCCTCCTGGTTCCCTAACTACCTGCAGACCTCTTCTCAGAATTCTCAGTGGTTGCTAAGACCATTTTCCTTTGAAACATTTTATGTTGCTTCGATCACCAGCCTCACTCCAGTACCAAGTAGAAGAGGGAAAAAAAAAAGATCTGCGAGGGAGCTCTGGTGGCAAGAAGCTGCACTGTAATCCCAGAGGTGCGCGGTTCAAATCCACCAGATGCTCTGCTGCAGTAGGAGGAGCCCTTCTGTACCAGTCAGATCTGATTTGAAGGCACGCGCACCCCCCCAAAAAAAATTAAAAAAGAAAAACAGATTTGCAATGGACAAGCAGAGGGAGCAAAGTAAGGACTATTAAGATCCTTTTCCAGGGTCAGGGCAGGATCTCAGCCATTACTGCTGAAGCTGTCACTCCCAAAGGGTGAGGGGAAATGCTGTCAGTACTCTGGAAGGGGAGCAGAGGCAAAAACAAAATAAAAAGGAAAAAAGGAGAGAAACTATACGCTATTGGTTTCTTTTTACGTCCTCTACCATCTTAGCAAATGATTAAATTGGAAGCTTTCCACAACATAGTTTGAGTTTTCTCTCTGCCTTTTAAATCTCTAGAGAGTACATGGAGTTGCATTTTATTTTTAATATACATATCTATGAAAACCTTATCACACTTTTTCAACTTATATGAATATTCTCCATCTTAGGTACTTTCAACTTTAGAGTTACTTTAGTAAAAATATCTGTTTTATAAATATTTGAGAATGATTCACTGGAATCAGAATCTTCTAGTCCCTGCAAACTGACTGTGCTCCCATGTGTTCGTCATTGTTAGAAGCCGAAGCAGCGTAAGATATACTCATGGCTTGTTTTGGTATCTCCTCAAATTAGGATAAAGAAGCAAAAAAGTTCAAAAGAACTGATGAATCGATTGCTTTCCTTCCTTGTACTTCAATACTCAGGGAACATATGTTTGTTAATATATCCATGATAAGTACAGTTATATTTTTTTGCAAAATATTTTAAAATAAACAAGTTTACCCAGTCATAATTTCCAGTAAATACTTATGAAGAAATGCCCAAACCTAAATAAGGAAGAGAGTAGTAATGACACATTAGCATCTCAGTATCCAATATCCAATCAAATATCTAGTAAAACACATCTTGTTTTAATGCATTATAAAATTGTTTTTCCTCCAAGAATCTTCCGTTTCAATGTGGATTAGCTCGGAATTCCCTGAGTTGTTATCAAAATACAATGATGATGGAATAGGTTAGAAAAGTACTGGCTTATTTTTATCTAGTGTGACTATAATACTTACATTTGTATAACCAATAAAGTGACAACTGGGAAATTAAAAAAAAATATTGTTCCCAACTACCTTAAAAGGTTTTTAAACTAGGATTTGTTCTGGGTTTTGGTCATGGATATTCAAATAGTTAGATTCATGGCAACAGTGTTTGTGAATTTAAAACAATATTCTTAGCAGTATGGTGGGTGGATTGAGACATAACATGGGTTATATTGGCAAATGCAATAAAAGAATCTATGAGATATTATACATGGGCCTAGAAGGATTCTTAATACATAGCCAGATACAAGTGTAGTTATTCATTTACTGTCTAATGCACAATAGCATTATACCATAAAACATGGTAATAAAATACTATTTCAGTGTGAAACTGTTTTTCTTCTGATTTCTTATTTTCAACTTCTAGAGAATTGTCATGGATCCATTTGTTTACCCCAAAACACATGTATATTTTATATTGTGGAAGCTATGTAAAGATTGCCCTGTGACTTGATAAACCAAATAATTATAAGAGGACCAAAGACGGTATGTAACATCCCTTATGCCATTTGATCTGCTATAAAGAGAGTTCCCCGAGGGTATGACCGATAAAATTTTTTCTCTCACAAGAGATAAACAGGAGGAATTGGAGGGGAGACCTCAGTCCCACAGAGAATCACCAGGGATGCAGGTCATCCTTTTGGTCTCAGGTCTCTGTACTAAGTTCTTCAACATCAGGGAAGGAAAGGATATAATGGCCATCAACAAGGAATGGTCTATGTACGCTGAAAGAAACGAGGACCTTCACCTAGAATCGGCAGAGAGAGAGGGCCTTCCCCCCAAGAGCTGCCTCACTGAATTTATCTTCTGTTCTTGTGCACTGTTGAGTCTGAACCGATTCATAGCCTCCATAACCAATTCATGACCCTCCAGTGGGTTTTCAGAGATTGTAAATCACATGAAAGGAGACTGCCTATCTTTCTCCCACGGAGGAGCTGGTAGATTTGTACCATGTGCCTTTAGGCTGGCAGCACAACTACTTAGCGCCAAGCCATAAGACCTTCCTATTTATTTTCTAGCCTTCTAAATTGTAAAAGAATAAATTTCTGGTTTTTTAAAATCCATCAACTTGTGGCATCTGTTATACCAGCAGTAGATAACTAAGACAGGAATACTGCTCTGCAAATGAAAATCATTATTTACCCTTCAGTACTTCTACTGACTAAAGCAAATGGTAGAACAATGCAAAGGTGCAGTATTAACTATAAATGCAAGAAGATATACTGGAATCTCAGCATTCCTGTAACAGTCTATCAGGAGGGGGGAGGAACTTCATTGCATCTGTGTCACAGCAATAATAGTATTTTTATGATTCTCTCTGGTTAACTTACTTCAGAGTTACTGTTTCTACTGTGTTCATCTTCTTGAAAGCTGTGTCTATATCCATTAATCACTTCCTCCCAAGCTTTGTTTTGACTTAACTCTTGCTGGTAATTTGGCTCTTCCACCATCGAAATTTCTGAGTTACCAAGAAAGCAGAGAAAAGTTTCATCAAAATGCTTTTCAACCCTGAACTGGGATATTATAGTTACAAAAGGAACAACTTAGAATAAAAAAATCTAAGCAAAGGGGATATAAACTACTTGCATGGTCCCTGAAGTCTCCCCTACTTCCTATTTGGCCTCCTCTAACTCTGTATCCTGTCCGCTCACCACCCTCCACCTCTTCCACACTCAGACTCACACACATTCACTCACAGGACAGCCAGCTCTGAAGCCCATCTTTGTACTCTGTTCAATAGACTTGAATGCCTTCAGGAGGGGGATCAGGAAGTACAGACTCACTACATGAGTCAACCCTTTTTAATTTTATGTTTCTATAATTTCACATCATAACTAACATTTATTAGCGCTCCATGCGCTCTCTGGGTAGATGGACATGTCTGTTATCCTTGGTCTGCCATATTGTTGAAATGCTATTTTTAATCACTGAAATATTTCCATGTTAATTTGTTCTAAAGTGAAATAGTAGATTGCTAAATAGAAAGATATTTCTTTGTTTCAGGGCTTATGAGTCCTGCCTTGGGGGACAGGGAAGGCAGGAGAGAGTGAGATTAAGAATGGTCAACAAACTTGGAGCAGATTCTATAACTGATTTAACTGAGGGAGGAAAAGTGAGGAAGATAGAGACAAAGGGAGGCTTACACCCTAAAACAATTGTGAAGAGTTCACAGGGAAGGGTGGGGAGGGAGCAAAGTTTCCTTAAGACGTTGTAAATAATGGTGTTACTGCTGTTGTTAATCCCTGTTGAGAAGAGAATGACCCAAAGTGACCCAAAGCAAACGACCCAAAGCTTACCTAGGAACAACAGATCTGAACTCTGACCATCCTCATACTTCGTGACACACTAGAGCCCACTGTGGCCTTACAAAGTTGTAATTGATGTTATTAAATGAAATATATATGTGTGAAAGAATGAAAGTAAATTTAAAAACTGGTCAACATAATACGTGTGTGTGTGTGTGTGTACACACCCCCCCCCCACACCCAGATAGAAAGAGACAGTGATAGTATTCCAAAGATAGTCCATAGGGCGTTGCACTGTTAACCTAAAGGTGTGATCCGAATCCACCAGCAACTCCTCAAGAAAAAAAATGGACAATCTTCTCTCTTATGATTTACAGCCTCCTGAAAACCTGCTTGAGGGTCAACTATGAGTTTGTTCTGGTTTGACAGCAATAATTTTTTAAAAATTTTGCTTAGTGGTGGTAGTATATGCCATCAAGTCAGAATCAACTCATAGCTGATCCTCCAGCAGGTTTTCAGAGACTGTAAATCACATGAGAAGAGGCTGTTTATCTCTCTCCTGCAGAACAGCTGGTAAATTTGGACCATGGGTCTTTGTGTTGGCAGTGCAATGCCTTACCAGTAGACCACCAGAGCTCCCTTTTGATAAAAAAAGTTGCAGTTGTTAAGTATCATGGAGTTGAAACTTACTCATAGCTGGCCCTCCAGCAAGTTTGCAGAGGCAGTAAACCACATGAGAGGAGACTGCTCATTTTTCTCTCACAGAGCAGCAATACACACACACACACATACACACACACACATATATATAAAACAACATATATAAGCACATTTATGTATACACATACATACATACACACACACACTGAGCAAGAGAGCAAAAGCAAGAGAGAGAAAGAGAAAAAGAGAGAGTTCATGGCATAGTGGTAAGAAATTGCACTACCAAGCCAAAGGTACACTGTTTGAATCTATCAGCAGCTCCATGGAAGAAGGATGGGCAATCTCTTCCTGTGCGATTTACAAAATCACTGGAGTGTCAGCTATGAGTTGGTTCCAACTCAAAAGCATGTAACAATATATGTATGTATTTTATGAAAATACCCATCCATCATGAAAATGCAATGCTGATGCAACAAATGTTTTTTAAATTTTAAAATTGGTTTAGACATAGAACTTAAAATGAGGAATATGGAATTGGATTCCATTTTTATTTTGATATGTAAAATAAAATTTTATTTCCACAACCTTCTCAACACTGACAGAATAAGGGAGTCTTACCTGCTATGTTTTTGTTTGCCAGTTCTTTTCCTGAATCCTTCTGTAATAATTTTCTTCCAAGTTTAAAGTCAGAAAACAGAAAGCATTTTGCAAACAACTGTAAAAAAAGAAAGAGAAATGTTTTGTTTCTATTTTTATATAAGTAAAGCAAGTCAGGAACTCAAAAGACGAACTGCATTGGGGAAATCTATCATCAGGGACCTCTCTGAAGTGCTGAAGAGCTATGGTGTCATTCTAGAAATCAAGGTGCAACCTGATCCAGGCCAGGGTCTTCATAATTACATGCTATGCATCAGAGAGCTGGATGATGACTAAGGACAACAGAAGAATTGATGCCCTTGAGTTGTGGTGCTGGAGAAGAGTATTAAACAGATCATGGACTGCCAGAAGAACAAATAGATCTGTTTTGGATCAGGTAAAACCAAGTTCCTCTTTGGAGGCTAGGATTTTGAAGCTCCATCTCACATACTTTGGATAGGTGGCCAGGAGGGATCAGTCCTTGGAGGATATCAAGTTTGGAAGGGTGAAGGGATGTATAGAAGAGGAAGACACCAATGAGATGGATTGACACAGTAAGTGGCAAAGTGGAATTAAGTGTGTCAGAAGTCAGTGAGACTGGCTCATGACAGGGCAGGGTGCAGAGCTATTATACATAGGGATGCTATGAATCACAAGCCACTTGATGGCACATACCAACAACAAACAAAAGCAGTTCAATGCAACATGAACACAACTGATACAAAGTCAAAACTATGATCGGTAAGTACATATCTAAAAAATTAATTCAGAAGTAGGAGAATGTTTTTTAACAAGCTTAATTTTTGTTGAGGGAGCTCTTGTGGCCTAGTGGCAAGAAGCCATGCTGCAATCCCAAAGACACAGAGTTTGAGGCCATCAGCTACTCTAAGGGAGAAAGATGGGCAATCTCTTCCAATGTGACTGACTGTCTCAGAAAATCTGCCAGAGGGTCAGCTATGAGTTGGTTCCAACTCTATAACACACAACAACATTTTTTGTTGTGTATCTGTAAACATGTATTTATTTATAACTAAATCTCATATCCATGCAAAAGGATGAAAACCATTACCCTTTTCAGTTCAGCATGAATCAAATCCTGAGCAGCAGTTGACAAAAGCGTATCCACTCCTCCTTTCTTCTTCCACATCATTAGTTTATGCGTAGGAGGTGCCAGTTCCAAAACCGTAAGAGTGTCTATAAAGGAAGTGAGCTGTTTCTGCATCGCTTTGCTACTGATCTCCTTGACTGGGTCTATGAGCAATTTCCTCCGCTTGCCTTTCCTTTTCCCAGCAATGTCTAAGTGTAAGAAGAGGGCATCAATGTGATTGGCTGTATAGCTTTAAAAATGAGCTTCCTGGGCATTGCTTCTTAAAGAAATATCTACCACAATAAAGCCTAGAAAATTATATTGCAAAGAATTGCTGCCTCCTCTCTTATGGAAATGATACTTTACAAGGTTTTTCCCTGAGAAGCCAGTAGCTGATGCTTTTCCCCCTAGTATTGCTGAAAAGTGCTTAGAAGAGGCTCTGTTCATTTAATAAATGGACAGCTGAGGAAATGTGGAACAGAGACTATTTGAGAGGGAAGTCATCCAACTTAAAGGATCTCTAATATGTCGTGTCTACGTAAGAGGATATTTTAAAAAAAATTGGTTTTCATATAATAATTCCTTTACATTATGTTTCATTCAACTACATTGTGTTTTCTTTTCTACATTGTGTTTTATACAGTCTTTCATTTACATTGTGTTTCATACAATCATTTATATACACTTTATTTAACGTTATTTTTTTAAATTGGTTTACTTACAAAGTTTATATACAGTGTGTTTTACACTATTCTTAATTCAAATTGTGTTTCATACAATCATTCTCATGCATTATGTTTTATAAAATTAATCACTCCATATGACCCAGTTATTCCACTACTAGGAATAAACTCCAAGGAAATTAGAACTGAGACACATTCAAAGATTTGTACACCAAAGTTCATAGCAGTGTTATTCACCATCGTAAGAACATGGAAACAGCCCAAAAGTCATGTTCTATAATATTTCATTAATGGTTTAAATACCATAGTAGATAAAATAGTAGTGTTGTTTGTTGTTGATTGCTGTTGAGTCAAGCATGACTCATAGCGACTCTATGAAGAAAAGACTTAATGCCTTTCCATAATTATAGTCATTTGTCCAAGTTCATAGAGTTTCCAGAGGCATGTGGTTTAGAAAGTGGATGCCACTCCTGCTACAAACCTGTCTTACAACTGGGAGTTCCACCAAAAACACAGGTCACAATGGGAAACCATTATGGTATTTGATACCCCAATGGCACCAGGTTCAGGATCACAGAAAAAACAGGTTACTTCATAAAGCATATTTGACAAAGAGTATGTGCGAAGTGGAAGAGTGTTCCTCCAAATATAATAACACTAGTCTCACTTAGCAGTGGTTAAGTGTCGTTGAGTTGAACACAACTCAGAGTAAGCTTTGCACAAAAGACTTGAACTCGGTTTTATAACTAACATCATTTCTGTATGTTTATGGAGTTTAAAGAGTTTTGTAGAATTTTCAGAGGCATCTAGTTTAGGAAGTGGATGCCAATCCTGCTTCCCAGCATGAATCAATCTGGACACTCATCCAAACATTGTACATAATGTGTAACCATTAATGGTATTTGACATGACTATGGAACAATATTCATCATCACAGCAACTCCAAGTTGTTCAGTACAGTAAACAGACAAATGATTTTTCTGTCTTTTCAAGAATATTCATTCTAAAATAATAAATTTGGCCCAAGGGCTGCACACTCTAGCAGGCCTCCACCCTTGGTGAAAGGCTCAAGGGCCACATACTCTGGAGGGGAAGAGCAGTAACAAACATCAAACATGGCCCCAAAAACTTCCTTTACATAACCACCATCAAGATGAGACCATCATCAGATGCTAGCTAGCAGCCAATTCCTAGAGTCGAGATAAACTGACTCATAGTTGGCTCTCCACTGGGCTGATGAAGCTGTAAATCACACAGAAGAACACTGTCCATTTTTCTACCACTGAGTTGCTGGTGGACTGGAACCACCAGAGAGACAAAGCCTTTGGCAATTCTCTACTGATAACCCCAATAGTACATAAAAATAAAATTAAATTAGTTAATCTTACCTGAAATATTAATTGGATCAAGGGTAAATCCATCTTCATTTGATAATGATGTGGTTTTGTTTATTTCTTCATTTTCACATGGACCTATACATTCTGAATTATCCAGTTCTTCTAATTAATATATAAAAATAACAAAATGATAATCTTGTAAAATAAAAGAATATAAGAGAATTAAAGAGAAGATAAGCTAATTTAGTATATAAATATTCATAATTTGGAGTAACATGTAAATTCTTAGAATGAGATATTTAGGAGAGCTGAGGAAGCTCATAGATAATATGGTCTGAGTTAGGTTAGTTATCATTATAGTTTCTTATCTATGAGACACTGAGCTACAGTCTCAAAGTGAGCAAAAATCATGGTCAGTCACTTGAACACCTGGTACATAGTCTGTTGTGTAATTTAATTATTAGTTGACACATAAAGAATGATAACAATAAAATTCTTATTGCCTGTTATTTTCACATATAAAATTTCTACCACTATTTTAGGAGGTACACGTAACATCTGAAAGAGTGAAGGATCAACAAGGCTTTTTATACTTATGAAAAACCAGATTGAATGACCTCAAATTAGTTTAGGTACTTCCTACAAATTACTCAGAAGGAAAATATCCCTACATTTATAATCTCACCCAAATTACATTAAGATCACCAAGCCACATCATTTAATGATACACACACATGCATATATACACGTGTATACATATACCTATATATACACACATACATGTATATCATATTAATGACTTAGAAGTACAGTATTTAGCAGATTATCTCAACATGCAAATATTTAAAAATTTCATAAATGACATTACATTTGAAAAATATTTTTAAATGTAATAAAAATACTGAATACAAATAAACTCAATTCCATTTAAATATCTTTCATCACATCTTTCTTGAGACCCAGCTAACTATTGCCTAGAGTTGGACTAAGAAGTTTGAGGAATAGCAGTCTTTATTATCTTTTACTATATGGTAGCACCATTTAAGCTCAGAAATGCCAAGGCTTAATTGGAATATTAGTACCTGCTCACTTCAATACAAAGAGATATGTTGACATACCCAGTGTAGTATTGGCAGGCTCAGGAGGCAGGGAAATCTCTCTGTCTATGTGCATGTCTTCTAACAGGATATTTCGGTCATCTTGCAATAAGTTATCTTGAAAAACAATAATTTTGTCAAGTAGAGTTGAATCTGTTATTTGTATTATTATATACATTATTATATTCAAAGAACAGTAAATTGTGGCTAATGTTGAGGAAAATGGGAATCCCAGAACATTTGATTTTGCTTATGCAAAACCTATACTTGGACCAGGAAGCAGTCCTCAGAACAAAGCAAGGAAATACTGCATAGTTCAAAATCAGGAAAGGAGTGCATCAAGGATTCATCTTGTCTCCCTACCTTTTCAATCTATATGCATATCATTTGGGAAACTGGGCTTTATGAGGAGGAATGTGGCATCAGGATTAGAGGAAGACTCATCAACAACCTATATTATGCAGATGACACAACCTTGCTTGCTGAAACTGAGGAGGGCCTGAAGCACTTGCTGCAGAAGGTCAAGGACTGTAGTCTTCAATATACATTGAAGCTCAAAATCTGTTCCTTATGGGTCAAAATAGAGCTGTGCTCCATAGAGTTTTCAACAGTGACATTTTCAGGAGTAGATAACCAGGTCTTTCTTCAAAGGCACCTCTGGTTAGGCTTGACCTCCTAACCCTTCACTAAGTAGCTGAGGTCATTAACCATGTATACTACTCAAGGACTCCAATAAATAATAGTAGATGAAACCAAATATGCAATTTCTATATTATTTTATAGCCTACCTACCAATCATTTCTCCTGCAGCTCCTTCATCTCCAAATCCATCTCCACTGTCATAAAACAGGGATTTTTCTCCAGCAAGGCTTCCAGAACTATTTTCAACCAAAAAACCACTGGAATTCAGTAATACATTGTCATCAAAGAAGCTATGTTTTCTGAGAACTTCAGATTCCTCCCCTAAATAAAGGCATAGTGTTAATACTGAGTTGGCCATAGGAAACATAGGATTTGGGGGTCAGAAGAAATACATCATCTAGTGTAATTTCATTCATTATTATAAAAATCTCATTCATTTTGTGCATGTTGGAAATGATAGAAATCATCTGACTTATTCAATTAAAGTAACTAATTTAATCAACAGAATCTAAATTTCTAGACTAAAAATGCTCTTTTAAATGCAATATTTTTTTAAAAAACCCTGATGATTTCATTTAACAATTTCCTAGGAGATATAAATACTAAAGCAGGCAGAATAATGCTTTCTACTTATGTAGGTCAAATTCTAAATGACTAGGTGTTACTCCGTCTTGTGTGTTGTTTATCCATGAGGGAGAATTGGAAAATAAGGAACATATCTATGTCTTAGGAAATGTAAAAAGGTGGATAAAAGACTAAAGAGAAGGCTTACAGTATTCATGCAATAAATATTTATTGAGTACCTGTCTACTAGTAATATACAAATGAATAGAGATGAGGCAGTTAAAAAGACAAACACAGCCAGCTAACATTAACTCAAGCTTATTGTGCATTACATTACAGAAATCAGTACTGTAATGTTCATTGTAGTAGAAGGAAACATGGTCACAGGAAAATGATGTAGTATACACAAAGTCACATACTCTAATAAATGAGAATCTGAATGTATTCTAAAGCTAGTTTTCTATTCTTCATTGTATTGGCAATTGCAGGGAACGAGTGGTTTAGGAAGCAGAAGCAGTATTCTGGGACCAATGAAATATTTTACAAAATGGAGACTTATAAGAATGAATTCCTGAAGCACTAATGTTGTAGTTGTTAAGTGTTGTGAGGTTGAGTACAACTCATATCAACCTCATAAACAACACATCTGAACTCTGTTCTATCTTGTGTCATCTTTATCATCCTTGACACATCTGAGTCCACCCCCACAGACACTCTATCAGTCCCTCTCATTGAGGGTCTTCCTTTCCTTTGCTCACCCACCATCTTTTCAAGCATGATGTCCTTTTTTCAAGTAATAGCCTCTCTTAACATGTCCAAAAGATATGAGATGAAGCTTCACGAGCTTTGCCTCCAAGAAACATTATGGCTGCACTTTCTCCAATACTTTCTTTGGCTCTTTTGGCACTTTTACTTTTCAGCACTCTTCTCTAACACCACAACTCAAAGCTATCAATTCTTCTTCAACAACAACAAAAAGATCAATGGTTCCAATCCACCAGTGGCTCGGTGGGGAAAAGATGGACAGTCCCCTCCCACAAAGATTCACAGCCTCAGAAACCTGATATAGGGTCACTGTGAGTTGTAAGCAACTTGATGGCAGTAGACTGGGTTTGGTTTATTAATGTGGTATCTCATACTGACTGATTTTCTAATGTTGAACCAACTTTGCCGTCTTGGAATAAATCTCACCTCACATGATCACAATACGCAATTATTTTACTATGTTGTTGAAATGAGTTGGCTATCATTTTGTTGAAAATGTTACTGCTGTTGTTCAGTGTCATCAAGTTGAGCACAACTCATAGCAACACTATGAACAAGAGATCAGAACCCTTGCCTATCCTGTGCCATCCTCATCATCTCTGACACCCTTGAGTCCACTGCCGTGGTCAATATGTCAATCCATCTGGTTGAAGGTCTTCCTCTCTTTTGCTGATCCTCGATCTTTCCAAGTATATTGGCTCTTTCTAAAGAATAGTCTTTCCTAGCAACATGCACAAAGTTTCCCACCTTTGCCTCCATGGAGCACTCTGGCTGCACTTTTTCCAAGACACAGCTGTTTGTTCTTTGGTAGTTCTCTGGTAGTCCATGGGCAGGCTAGTACTCTTCTCCATCATGACAGTTCAAAAGCATTAATTCTTCTGTCATCCTTATTAATTGTCCAGTTCTCAGATGCATAGCAAGTGCTTGAAAGTACCATAGCCTGAATCAGGTGCACCTTAGTCTTCAAGCTGACATCACTGATTCTTGGTAATTTGGAGTTTTCTGACAGCAGACTTTCTTCCCAAATGCAATACATCTCCTGATCTCCTGACTGCTGGTATCAAGGATGTTGATTGTGGATCCAAATAAGAGGAAATCACTGACAATTTCTATATTTTCTCCATCTATCATGATGTTGCCTATTGGTCCACTGGTGAGGATTTTTGTTTTCTTTTTTTTTTAATTTTTATTATTTTTTGTGTGTGTACCGTCAAATCAGATCTGACTGGTACAGGAGGAGATTGTCCCTCCTTCTCCAGCAGAGCATCTGGTGGATTCAAACCGCGTAATTCTAGGGTTGCAGTGCAGCTTCTTGCCACTAGGCCACCAGAGCTCGCCGATTTTTGTTTTCTTGATGTGAGATGTAATTCATATTGTAAATTGTAGCCTTTGATCTTCTGTGTCAAGTGCTTCAAGTCCTCCTCACTTTCAGCAAACAGAGTTGTGTTATCTGCATGATGCAGGTTGTTGACAAGTCTTCCTCCAATCCTAATGCCACGTTGTTCTTCATAGAGTCCAGATTCTTGAATGATGTGCTAAGCATACAAATTGAACAGGTGTGGAGAAAGCATATAAACTTGATTCACACCTTTTTACATTTTAAACCATCTTCACTTGCTATTTTCACACATCTCCTTGCTCCTGATACAACTTTATGTTTATATTCATCCAATATCTTTACATGATTTTGGTACCAGAGTAATGGAGGCTCCACAGAAAGAGTTAGGGAATATTTTTTCTCTTAATTTTTCTCAGAGTTTGAACAAGATTAGTGTCAATTCTCTAAATGTCAACTAGATTTCCCCAGTGAAACTGCCTGGTCCTCGATTATTTTTTGGTGTTATTTTTAGTCTTCTTATTGAAGTCTTCTATTTCTTTTTATGTTTACATAGGCTATGTGAGAACAACAGAAATTACAAATGTATAATTTGATATAATTTCAGCACCATAATTTTACGTATGTTAAATTTAACAAATATTGAGGCTTATTTTTTGCTTTTATTTCAATTAATTTTAATTATATTTTATGTAAGTATCAGTAGATAAGATTAGAAACTTTAAAAAATATCATAGAAATGGTTCTTCACCACCTATCATTTGAGAAATACCACTATAAAGAATAAAGATATGGAAAGACAGTAAAGAAGTCAAAGTTAGAGAGGTGGCTAGGTCATACTTCCTCGCTCCAACCTCCATGACAAGTTACAACGAGGTTTCTACTATGCTTACTGTGTTAATGGCTATAGAAAGTTCAAAGATGAAGAAACAAGTCATAGCCTCATGGAATTTGCAGACTAACACAGGCCTTTGTAAATACTAGAATACAAGGCAAAGAATGGAAAATGCCATAAAAATGAACAAATAATACATCGTTTCATTAAGCCATATTACTTGTATTCTAAAACACACTCACCTTGTCCACATTCTTAAAATAAGTATCTATTTCATAGTCAATGTAAATAATTAGTGTGACATTTTTCCCCTCCTCTATTTTTAAATTCATTATTTTACAATTTTTGCCATTATGCCCTAGAGGCAATACGCTACCTTGAGGGCATTTTGTGAAACACACCTGTAAAATCTTGTATAACCATTCCAATTGTTTATTTACATATCTGTCTCTCTACCAGTCTGAAAGCTCCTTGAGGAAGGAAAGTAACTGCTTCCTGAAACTTTGTTTGCAACTATGATAAAATACAAAACAAGTTAAAACAGTTGCCCTGAATCTAACTCATGGTGGCCCCCATGTGTGTCAAGGTAGAATGTGTGCTCTACAGGATTTTTAACGGTTTGTTGCTGTTTTTTTTTTTTGGAAGTAGTTTGTCAGACATTTCTTCTGAGGTACCTCTGGGTGGACTTGAATCTATAACTTTTTATTTAGCAGTCAAGTTTGTTAACCCCTTGTACTATCTGGGGACTCCATCTCTGCTATATCATCCGATATATAGAAGACATGTAAATGGCTGTAAAGCGAAGAATGAATATTTGTAATGCCATCTAGACTGGGAAAAGAACACATTACAAACTTATTGGGGATGAAATTTAGACATCAAAAATATTTATTCTAAAGACATTTCTATTAGCATAGAAATAGCTATTTTTACTGGCACTATTTCAACCTAAAAGTGCTAATACATTTGATTACATCTTATAATTTGAATTTGTCAAATATTCTCACCAAAAGTCGCAACTTGGAAAAGTAGATCCTTGTCGTAGTCTTCTCTAATTGTAATTTCTTCTGGTCTACTTTGATTTTGAGTAAAATTCTCTGAAACATCAACACTATGGAAAAATTTAAGATTAAAAAACCATGTGAACATGACATAATTATTTTGCAGTAGACTTAATAACCCAACTAAAACGAAACTGTCTTTATTTTCTCAAAAGTATTATTTATAAAACACTAATTTATAGTGTATAATATAAATGATCTCCAGGTTGCCAAATCACTACCTCTTAGGTGGTCTTCTCAATCATATTTGAAATAGATGTTAACACCCTCATGGAACATGTTTTTTATTAAGCCTCTAAAATGTCACTCTTTATCTTTCAACCTCTGGCCGTTCCTTTTCTACCTCTTTTACTAATTCTCCCTTATCTTCCATATTCTCTCTTAAATCTACACTCACTTCCTTGGGTTCCTCTTATGGCCCATAGTTGAAATTCTATCTATATCTTAGATCCCAAAATTATCTATTCAGCTCTGATCTCTCTCCCCTGAAATTCAGATCCATATATCCAACTGTCCCCTTGGATGTGTGTACTAATCAGCTCAAACCAAGCCAGGATCAACCCATGGCCATGGAATCCATTCTCCCTCTTAGCAGCCCTATATTATAGAATAGAGTAGAACACTCCATACTGTTTTCAAGAGAGTAGCAGTCTTTATGGAAGCAGACTGTCACATCTCTCTTCTGTAAGAGGGCTGATAATGTCAAGCCAGTGGCCTTCTGGTTAGTTAATAGCTGACCACTTAACTACTAGGGCTCACAGTCATTTCAGAATTTACAGGCAAAATCTAATCTACTTCCTTCACCCTTTTCCACTATTTCCTAGCTATCCTGATCTCATTAAGTGGTAACTACATTCTCATATAAAAAAAATCATAGTCATCTTTTATCCTCTTAGAGACATAAATATGCCTTCAGCAAATTCTGTTGACTCTACTTCAAGAATATATCCATAATTTGACTGTTACCACTTTGATTAAACGTAGAGAGAATTGACGACACTGCCAACTCTGATTTGAATTTCTTACTGCAGTAGTCTTCCAAGAGTTTCTGCTTCTCCCCTGGCCCATTGTTCCAGGCAGAGGAAAAGTGCTGAAATCAAGTCAGGCCCTGTCATTCTTGCGTGCTGAGCTCTCCTGTGCACCCCATCTGATTCAATATGAGTCCTCACTGTACTCTACAATGCCCTATATCATCTGCACACCCTGCTACTTTTGACTTCATCTCCTACCACTTAGTCCCTCATTCACTCCACTCATCTCACTTATCTCCATGTTGTTCTTTGAAAAGATCCAATGTGCTCAGCTTTAGGGCCTAGAACATTTTCCCCTTTGTGAGGGAAGCCATAGCACAGCTGGCTGAACAGTTTGCTCCTTCACTTTCTTTAGGTTTCTTATTTTATCAGAAAAGCTTCTCATGACCATGCTACCCACACAGTAGGGCTTATTTTAGTCTCTCTTACTCTAGTTTCAAATTTTTATTTAATTATTTTTTTTTCATAAATTCTACTTTTCTTCATGATGCTGATCACTCCTGGCATGTATTTTTTTTTTCATTTACTGCCTGTATGTTCCATTTAGAATGTAAGATCCATGAGGCAAGGAGGTATGATTTTACTCATTGCTGTTTTCTCAGTGTCCAGAACAGTGCCTGGTATATGTAAGGCATCCAATAGATATTTACTGCATGAATTAATGAAATGTCAGCATTAGAAATTACATTCAGTACATACAATGATACTCATTTTCTTGTTATTATGCTCTGGAATTGCACACTAAATTTAAGGCTCTGTGTGTTTTTTCAGTTATTAAAGACATTCTTGCTTTTATGAAATTCAAATGTAAAACCAACAAACTATCAAAATTTATGGGAATAATTTACTTCATATTCTGGGTGTCAAAATCATGAAATTCTTCTGGCAATGTGATCGCATTGTAAGCTGCTTCAAAATTCTCTTTTGGAAGGTCAACCAGCCCTGAAAGAAATTTTTAAAAACATATCCAATAAGCTATGGAAAAAACATAATCCCAATTTAATATCTATGTTTTCACTGACCTACTGTTTAACCTCCTAACTGGTTTCCCTGTATTCACTCCTCCTCTTCGGCAGCCCTAGATATGCTCATCACTCTATGCCAGGAAATTTGGAGGACAGCTGTCTGGCCAATGGATTGGAAGAAGTACATATTTATTGTCATTCCCAAGAAAAGTGATCCACCAGAATGTGGAAACTATTGAAAAATATCATTAATATCACATGTATGCAAAATACTCCTGAAGATTATGAAAAAATGGCTAGAATAGTACATAGATAGGGAAATTCTAGAAGTTCAAGCAGGATTTAGAAAAGGCCGTGGCATTAGGGCTGGCTGATGTCACATGGATCCTGGCTGGAAGTAAAGAGTACCAGAAGAATATCTATTTATGCTTTATTGACTATGTAAAGGCATTTGACTATGTGGATCATAAGAAGTTGTGGTTGACATTGAGAAGAATGGGAATCCCTGAGCACTTAATTGTATTCATGTGACACCTATACCTAGACTAAGATGCTGTTGTGCAAACAGAGCAAAGATTTACACTGTTGTTGTTAAGCGCCGTTGAGTCTAGTCAACTCATAGCAACCCTATGAACGAAAGTCCTCGACACTTGTGTGCATGACTTTCATCCTTTCTCCAGGTTCATAGGGTTTCTGGAGGCAAGCTATTTATGGAATTGGATGCCACTCCTGCTTCCAAGCTTGTTTCAACTGGGGAGCACCACCAAACAGTGTCCACCATGGGTAACCATTACCGCATTTGACACATCATTGTCACAGTGTTCAGCTTCACAGTGACCACAAGTTAAAATTAGGAAGGGAGTGCATCAGGATCGTAGTCTATCTCCATATCTATTCAATCTGTATCTGAGCAAATTATTCGATAAGCTGGACTCTATGAAGAGGGGTACGGCATCAGGATTGGAGGGAGACTCATCAACAAACTGTGTTATGCAGATGACATAATATGTTCCTGGCAGCTCATTTTCTACAAAACAGCCTATATATAAATCAGATCAGACCACTTCTACCCTTAAAATATGACTCAGCAACTTTCCCAGTGAATTCCAAATTAATTAAAACAAAATCCAAATTTCCAACAGGAACGTCTACAGCTCTACAAATCAACTGGTGGTCATCAAATAGTTCTCTCTCTCTTCCTCGCTACATGCTAACTACACTGGACTTTCTGTTCCCTGAAAAATCACTTTTCCACCTTAAAACTTTTGCTCTGGCAGTTTGCTCTGCCCACAATGCTATTCCTCAGGGAATATGACCGGGTATTTCTCGTTCTTCAAACGTCAGCTTTCATTCTAGCCCCTCAGAAAGGCTTTTACAAACTATCCTATTTAAATTGATTTAGTTATGTTTCTACTGCAGTGATATATTTTCCTTCATAGTATAATAATAATATATAATTTTTAGTAGTTTTTTAAAAAAGGTTTTGTGTTACCTGATTCCCTCACCAGACTGAAGGAGACCTTACTTGTCTCACTACCTAACATAGTGTTTAGCACAAAGAATCAGATTTAAAAAAAAAAAGGTTTGTGGAACACGTGAAGGAAATAATGAATAAAAAAAGAACAAATGAACCATACTTGATATAAGTATAAATTTACCTAGAAATTCTACATTTAAATAAAGAGAGTGGAAAGAAAGACATTTATCAATTCTAATTCAACGCATACTGATTGAGGGAAGAGTTTGTGTAATATACTAAGACAGATTCAGAAAATGTCTATGAGGGGGAATCTACTCTTCAAGCAGCTTACAGACTTGTGAGATAGACAAGGCTTGTACTTGTACAACCATTATGAAGCTAGAAAATGAAGACTATCTTAAAAAGAGAACAGATTCTATGTAAATGAATATTTGAAGGCATTATGTTTATGAAATATGTAAATTGCTAGCACTTTCTGATGCCTAGGGATATTTCTGGAAGCTCTTGTGGTGCCGTCCATAGGAAGTACCACTGTCAACCAAAAGGCATTGCCTCTCCAGTGCTTTGAATCCACCAGGAGAAAGATGACCAATCTTCTCCTGTGTGATTTATAGTCTCCAAAAACTCAGAAGGTCAGCTAGATTCCTCCTCAATGGGATTTTAAATTTTTAATTTTTATTTTATATCTGCTTGTTTACTTAAGTTTGTACACATTGTGTTTCACACTAGTCTCCATTCATATTGTGTTTCATACAATCATTCCCATGTATTATTATGTTTTATAAAATTAATCACCATTGGACTGTGCCCATCACTACCCTCTTTTCAGGTCCCCGCCATATCTTTCCCATTTCCTTTACAGCCTCCATTCACCACCAGATCATGCAACCCTGTGATTTCACACCTACCCATCCTCACCCTCTGCTCCCACACCTTCCCTGCTTGTGTCACCATCCATGTTTTACCAGTTATCCTCACCGGGATTTTTTATTTTTTAAAAAAAGAAGTCTTGAGCATTTTGAAAACAATGATAAGTATAGATATCTGTCGTTGTTACATACCATCAAGTTGATTATAACTCAGGGTGAGTCTATGAAAAATATATCTAAACCTTGTCCTATCCTGTGCCATCTTAATCCTGTGCCATCTTAATCCACTCTGACATACTTGAGCCCAGTGACACAACAGCAATATAGATATGTAGGTTTGTCAATGACACTATTTCCAATATCTCTTGTACAAGCGAACAGACACAACGAGCTCACCAACCATAAACCAACCCTGTTACTGTGGAGTTAAATCCGACTCCTAGCCATCCTACAAGAAGGACAGAGAGCTGCCCACAACCTATCAAAGATTGAAATCTTGGCAGAAGCAGTTAACTATATCTTACGTGGAGCAACTAGCAAGTTCAATCCTCCAACCTTCTGGTCAGCAGCCGAGTGCTTAACCAATGAGTCACCAGGGCTACTTCATGGCAAAATAAGTGAGCAATTAAACCCCAAATGTCAGTGTGGCAGCTTGAATGCATTTCTTAAATAAACATGCAGAAATAATTCAAGTTTGGAAAGCATGATATTTTGTTGCAAATACAAGAACAGCAAGGGAAAGAGTTGGTTCCCAGCCATGAAATCTTAGATTTGGTCATCCATTCAGTCTTCTTTGACGTTTTTGAGTGTGCTGATTTGGAGAGTCTATCAAAATAAAAAGACAAGGAAACTTCAAGAAGAGGTGATCAATAGCATACACGTACCTGGGCGAAATGTCAGCTTCATCTTAAGCAACGCTTCACTGCAATCTGCCAAAAGATACTTTGCCTTCCTATTATAGATGCGAACAACTCCCAGGAGAAGATGTCCTGAGGTTCGAAGTGCGATTTTCACCTTTCAAGAATTTTCGAAGTATTACAATACTTAAAGAGTGGGAACATAATATAGTTCTTTGAAAATTACTGAACTCACAAAAAAATTTCTACTCTTTAGAAAGACATTTCACATCTCTTTTTACCTTGTCTTTTAAGAGGATTTATTCTCTCCCCACCCCCACCCAAGCCACACACCTTACTTAGTGAAGAAAAGGAGGCATTTAGTACTATTATTAGTGTTAAGACTATAAATGCTGGAATCAGGCTAAAGTTCAAGCCTTGCCTCATTTGCTGGGGTTGAGTCACTTTATCTTCTTAAAGTTCAGCTTGTTAATAAAGGCTGCAGTTTATCACAGTGAAATCTGTGAGAGCGGGAACTCAATGGGGGCCCCTTGTCTTGCCACTTCTCACATATTCCCCACCTTTGACATGGTGCAGTTACTTTTCCATCATCTGCTTTAAGTGGGAACTGCTGGGGCCTTACACTGATTTTTATTGTACATATTTCTTTTTGTCAAGCATTGTGTTTTTCATATATTGATTAGTTCTGACAATCATCTGTATTTACAGATGGGGAAAGCGGATTGTTGTTGTTCATGTGTACCGTCAAGAGAGAGTTCCAATGGCTTACTGGTAAGGAGTTGCCACCAGCAGATGGGTCAGCTCCCCTGCAAACTGTTTCCTCGTCCATGGTACACAACAAGAACAAATGTCAAGTCAAAACCAACTCAGAGCTGATCCTCCAGTGGGTTTTCAGAGGCCGTAAACTGCAGGAGAGGGAACTTTCCATCTTTCTTTCACTGAGCAGTGGCTGGTTTTGAATCACAAGCCTTTGGAGGGGAAGCACAACTCCTTATCACTAAGTCACCAGAGCTATATTAAGAATTATAACTATTAAGTGGTAAAGCTGAAATGAAAATTAACATTTGACCAACTCAAAAGTCATGCTCTTCACTGGGACTAAAAGAAGTCTGTATGACAGGGGTGTTATGAGGACTAAATAAACCAATAAACATAAAGTCTAGTTCCTTGCCTGACATACAGGTTTTTAATTATATCTCGTCTTTCTCTCAAAGAGGAAGAAAACTATCAACTAAGAAACCCCAGCAGTGTTGAGCTGGTTCCCACCCATTAAGATTCCCCATCAGGTTCCAGAGGCTGGAAATCTTCTTGGGAGGAGACAGCCCAACCTTCTCCTGCAGAGCGAAGAATGGTAGACTCGAACTGCTATCACTGTGATTCGTAGTTCAACATGCAACACACTAAACCACCGAAGTGTCTTAGTAGCTGTATAATGTTCCATAATGAATATTTTCTTGTTAATGAAATATTTTCACATGTTTTAATTTACATGTAAATTATTTTTTTACACAGAATTTGGGCACATTATTGTTGTTGTTATGCACTGTCAAGTCAGAACCAATCCATAGCTGACCCTCTAGTGGGTTTTCAGAGGCAAGAAATTGCACAGAAATAGAATGCCCATCTCTCTCCCAAGATCAGCTGGTAGATTCGAACTGTGTGCCTTCAGATTGACAGCACAGCTTCTTACCTCCAGGCCACCAAAGATCCATGCTGTTGTTGTTGTGTACCACAGAGTCAGAAAACGACCCATAGCTGACCCTCCATTGCATTTTCAGAGGCAGTTAATCACATGGGAGGAGATTGCCCATCCTCCCACAGAGCAGCTGGTGGCCTCAAACTGCACGCCTTAGAGACTGCAAGCACAGCTTCTTGCCACGAGGCCACCAGACCTGAGGAGCTACTCCTTGGAAAAGGACATCATGCTTGGAAAGGTGAAGAGTCCATGAAAGGAAGATGTTCAGTGAGGTAGACTGACACAGTGACTGCAGCAATGGATTCAAATATATCAGCGATGATGAGGATGGTGCAGGATAGGACAAGGTTCAAATCTGTTGTTCATAAGTTCACTATGAATCATACTCAATTTCATGGAACCTAACAACAACGCAATATAAGGTCTCTTCTATGTGATTTACTGCCTCTGAAACGTCCCTCGAGGGTCAGCTATGAGTAACTGAATGATGTAAGAGGTATTTTGTTAGGGAAATTAGAAAGGACAAAACAATAAAACAATACAGTATTGGACCCTTTACCCGTCAGGGTCTAAGCTATTCAGAATAAATATATAGCATGATTAGTTCCCTACAGAAACCAATATATGCATTAATATACTACAGGAATTAAAACAAGAAAGGCCATTTGAGTTCTTGGAAATATAGTTCATGGAACAAATACATTTTAATTCTATTCCTTTCTACAAGTTATAGAAAATACCAGCTATCATTTTCATCACTGACATACCTTCGGTGAAAGGATTTTTTCTATGGTTAGCTCTAGGTTGCATTCAAACACATGGGCCTTTGTGAGCTTCTTCTCCCAGTGGGCTGCAAGCCATATTTTGGCCAACGGCCCTCGTTTGCTCATAAGGACATGTGTGTAGAACATGCTGCCTGTACTTGTTAGGTGATTTTACAAACTGGAAAAAATATGAAGATATATGTAAACCTTGAATACAGAATCTTCAGCGCTTTGACAGTGAGTAAAATACTTTTCATTAGTCCTATAAAGATAACACTAAGTTGGATGACCTAAGTCAATGTATTATCCACTTCAGGTTATATTCCTACAGAGGAAATTTTATTTAGAATATAAAATTACAAAGCAATAAGAGAACACAGTCGAATGTAAACTACACTGGTTTAATATCCTGATCAATGACCTCTTCTAAGATTTTATTTTTTCTAAGAAAGGATTTGAGTTCTCTTCTTTTAAATATGGTCATATAAGTAAAGGGGAAAGGCTGGGAAGCTGGGGGAAGGAAGTAGGGAAGAAAGAATATGGAAAGGCAGGCAAAATGAAAAAAGAAAAATTAGAGAGGTGTTGCATCACTGATTTACATCCAGGCATTAAGTTTCATTGTTTCCTTCCAGATCCTTTGGTTTATTCATCAATGTGTTGATTCAAATGAAATAATGGATGCAAAGGATTATAAACAAGAAAATACTTAGAAGGCATCAAGAAAGAAAAGAACTGAATGAAAAAGATTTGAAATATGAATGGTAAAATGAAAATACTTCACTTAAAAATATGTGTTTCCTACTGCCAAAGGGGCCCTTTAGAGTAGTGAGAGAAGATCTTCACCCTGAAACCCACAGCGTCCCTTTTCAGCAGGAAGTAGCTAAGAGAATATGCCATCCCCTTTTCCTTATGACTCAAGGTGAAGTCTCTCTCAGGGAGGAGTGATAGGGAATGGCAAAGGACACACTGACAAAGAAGATTAATCAGAACTGGCTTTGACAAGCACTGTGGCATTTGGACAAGAACAAACTGGGAGGAGGGTAGAGAGAATAGTGCAACAATGAATGAATGGAAACCCAAAATCTCTGTAAATGTTTATGAAAATTAATAAAATATAATTATAGAAAAAAATACATGAGACAGCATTGTTCACCATCTCAAGAACATGCAAACAGTCCAAATGTCCAACCACAAACAAATGGATTGAGAAATTATGTTACATTCACACAATGGAATACTATGCAGCATACAGGTGCAATAACTTTGTCAATTATTACCTAACTTGGGATGAGTGGAGAGCATCATGCTGAGCGAACTAACTCAGTCCCACAAGGATAAATACTGTATAAAATCAGTATTGTAGAATGAGTATAAGGATCCTGGAGGGGTGGGAGAGGCTGGAAGCAGAGGGATGTGGAGGGGAAAGGAGAGATTAATCATTAGGCTGTACAATTTGATGGGGGTGTGTGAGGGAAATTGAAAGAATTCGTTCAAATTTGTATTTGAATTTTGTAAAAAAGCCAGTAGAAAATGAAAAACCAGAAAAAAAAGTTAAATGGGAACCTAATTTGCCATGCAAACTTTCACTGAAAATATAATAAAATAGTCTTTAAAAAATACATATGAGGAGTTTATACACATCTCCACAAACTATACTATTCTGAATAACATCCTAAGGTTTTATTATGAGGACAAAAATGAGAAGGGCTGTTATAGCACTTTGGGTGGCTTCAGGAGGAAAAGAAAATTATTGTTTACACTGAAGTAATTTTAGACTTCCTCTAGGAAAGCTTTTTTGCTTCTCTGCTTAAAGTTGTCAATAAAGGAAAACTGAACACAAAAACACAGCCAGCCACTGCACTGACAAGTTAAGTGAACTTTGATCATTGTTAATTCCACCTCAGAAATTAAATCATTCGTCTCAAACTAAAGGTATTAGAGTCCACTAAAGCCACATTCCTGAACGTGAGAGAGATTTAATGATCATAACCTGTCTCTTGCCTTGATTCCATTTTCTTCCGTTCTAGTTTTAGTATCTTGGAATAAATCCCAATTTATGTTTTAATTGTTCCCAGGTCTAGTGAGGAGTAATGCACAAAACAAGTTGTCTTATCATATTTCTTAAGTATTGACATACATTGTGAGGGAGCGCTCTAGTAGCCTAGTGGCAAGAAACTGCACTACAATCTGAAGACATGCGGTTCAAATACACCAGCTTGCTCCACGCGAGAGGAATGGGCAGTTTCCTCCCATGAGATTAACTGTGTCTGAAAACCTCCGCTGGAGGGTCAGCTGTATCAGTTCTGAGTAGACAGTACACAACAACATATATGTGTGCATGTATATGTATGTTGTCATTGTTGTGTGCCATCAAGTCGCCTGCGACTCAAAGTGACCCTTTGTACAACAGCCCTAAACCCTGTTCTATCCTGAGCCAACCTTACTGTCTACCCCTGTCATTTAATCAATCCACCTCATAGAGGGCCTTCCCCTCCTGCGCTGTCTCTCCACCCTTCCAAGCATGACGTCCCTCTCCAAGGACTGGTCCCTCCTTACAACATGACCAAAGTATGTCACATGAAGCTTCAGAATCCTTGACTCCAAGGGGCAGCCTGCTCTCACCCTCTCTAAAATGAACCTTTTGTTCTCCTAGCAGTCCATGGTATATTCAACACTCTTCTCCAGCACCACAACTCAGAGGCATCAATTCTCCTTCTATCCTCCCTAGTTACTTTCCAGCTTTCTGATGCATAGCAAATAATTGCAAAGACCATGGCCTGTGTCAGGCGCACCTTAGTCTCCAGACTGACATCCTTGCTCTGAATTCAGTCCTTTAGAGGGGTCTCTGACAGTAGACTTCCCCAGTGCAATTCGTCTTTTAATTCCCTGGCTGCGGGTACCGGTTATTTTGTTGTGGTCTCCCCCCACCCCCACCCCAGTCAGAGTTCCAGAGCTTTACTGCAAATGGAACTGATTATTAGAGAACTCCCTCTCCAGTCTGTCTTCGCCCTCCAGGGGAGGCCAGCCCAGGCCATGATGACAGAGGACCGGGGAGTGTACACATCGCTATGAACCGACCCCACCGCTGACCCTCCCGGGTTCTCAGAGGCAGTTAGTGAATCGCATGGGAGGAGGTCGCCCATCCTTCTCCCCGGAGCAGCTCGTGGATTCGAACAGCGCACCTTCAGCACTGCAGCGCAGCTCCTTCCCACCAGACCACCGGTGCCCCCTTTTGTATTACCAAAGCCGAAAGGGGTGCGACCCCCCACGCCGGGAAAACCCCAAGTGCTGGGGGTGAAGTCTAGGGAGACTCTGCAACCGCCGGGGAAGGAGGGGGAAGGCGGGGGTCCGAGGGGGAGCAGCCAGGTCGGCGCGGGAGGTGCTGGGGGGCTTGCGGGGCGGCAGGGGGATGAGGCGAGCGAGCCCGCGCGGGCCCCCCAGACCCCCCCAGCGGTCACCGAGCCGCTCCAGGCGCCCCCCACGGCGTGCCCTCCCACATTTCCCATCTCTGCGCGGGGCGGGGCACCCCGTAAACACGGGCATGCGGCTGGTGCTCATCCGGATGGGGAGGGACGCGGCGCTGCTCTGGGGGACGCCACCCCCGCCGGGGAGGAAGGAGCGGGGCTCCAGGGGCACTTGCGAGCGGCCGCCCCCGCGCGTGGGGCGCAGGAGGCCTCGAGCCGCGCCCCGGGCCACGCCGAGAGAGGTTTGCGGGGCGTCGCGGGTGGGTTTTCCCCCTCCTCACACAGAGCCGTCCCGAAGGGACGTGGCAAACAGAGGGGTCAAAAGGAGCTGTGGGCGCGATGCGGGATGCACAGGGTCAGGCTCCCCTCGTCCACCCGCCTCCGCCCCTCGGTATCGCGCGGCGGGGGGACACGCCCTACTTTGAGTCCGGAGGAGAGGCGCGCAGCTGAAGGCGGACGCCCGCGCGGGTCTGCGCTGGTCGGAGTCTGAGGAAAGCAGCCGGGAGAGGGGCGGAGCTTCGGGGGTGGGCGTGGTGACGGAGGCGGGCGGGAAAAATGAGGTAGTGGGCGGGGATAGTGGTATGTGGGCGGGGCCTTGGTGAAGTGGGCGGGTTAATAGTGGCATGGGCGGGGCGAGTTGTGGGGGGCCTTGACTAAGTGGGCGGGGTGATGATTAATGGGCGGGGCTGTGGCGGAGTGGTTGGAGCTACACAGGGGGTGTAGGGGTGGGGGATGTGAGTGAGAGAGAGAGTGTGTGTGTGTGTGTGTGTGTGTGTGTGTGTGAGAGAGAGAGAGAGAGAGAGAGAGAGAGAGAGAGAGAGAGAGAGAGAGAGAGAGAGAGAGAGATACGGGCATAGCTCTAGTATGGATGGGCAAGGCAGAGCCGCAGATCTCATACAGCCTCTAGCTTCCACTGCTCCGAGAGGTGGAAGAGGGTGGGTTTTGGCCTCAGGGTTCGTTTTTGAAATATAGCAAAGATGGCGAAGCTTTGTCTCTCATACTTTGTACACCTTGCTAGGAGAGGGACATCATGCTTGGAAAGGTCGACGAAGGAGAGGAAGCCTCCCAATGACATGGACTGACACAGTGACTGAAGCAATGGGTATGTTTGAGATGATGAAAATAGCACAGGACAGGACAGGGTTCAGATCTGTTGTTTATACAGTCGCTATAAATCGTGCTTGACCCGACCACACCTAACAAAAAATATTATCATTCTCTCTCAGTGGTTTCTGAGCGTCCCTAGAATGCAGTTTCTTGTCCTTCATTTGATAGTTAGGGGGCCTTGATGAGTTACTCAATACCCTCTGGCTTTGTGGATTAGGAACTGTGCTATCATCCCAAAGGCAGGAGGTTTGAATCCACTAACTGCTCCACTGGAAAAAGAGGAACCATCTCCTCCCATGATATGTTGTTGTTATGTGCTGTCGAGTTGCCTGCGACTCATAGCGACCCTATGTACAACAGCCCTAAACCCTACTCTATCCTGTGCCAATCTTACTGTCTCCAACACACCTATCCCCATTATCCCAGTGACGGAATTAATCCATCTCATCGAGGGTCTTCCTCTCTTGTGCTGTCCCTCCAACCTCCCAAGCATGACGACCCTCTCCAAGGACTGGTCCTGCCTTAGAACAAAGTATGTCAGATAAAGCTTCTGAATCCTTGCCTCCAAGAAGCAGC